CTGTTTTTAACGCATTATAAGACGTTTTTATCGTTATTGTGAGATAATAATTATTAATGACTGAAACAATCTGAATATGTCACAACTGATAAGTAATCTTACAGCAATATAAGACTAACAGATAGTATATCCAAAAGAGTGGATTGACGCATAAACATATGAATTTGCATATAACAGTCATATTTAGATAAAAATAAAAAATAAACAGTTAATTTAAAGTAAAACCGTAAAACACGTTAATTTATATAAAAATTAGCATGTAATAAGCTTATTAATCAACCAAATAAGATATAAGGTTACTTATGTTAGTCGGATCGTCGTGCTATAATATTTCAACTAAAATAACTGCTGTCAGGGGAAAAGTTTTGAATTGAAATAACGTGACTTCCGATTTGCATCGGAAATTCGTATATAGTTAATCGGTCCTCCTGCCCCTAGGATTTCCATGTCTCGATTTTCATCTATCTAATCCGTTCTCGAGATTAAGGAAATACAGACGAACGGACGGACGACAGTAGGAATTTATAGGTCTACAATATTTTCAAATTGCAGCTCCCCCAAAAAATGATTTCAATTGCCGTGAATATCCTGATTCTATTCGTTTGGTCCTTCATAGTGACGGATTAATTCTCAACCGGGTCCAAGACAAACCTGTAATCCGTGCTCTGCGCTACGTTTTTGTATTTAATTAAACCGTTTCCTTGTTTTCGCTTTTTTTTTTTTTGTACAGCTATATTATTTTTCCTAATAATTATTGAAAAATATATTTAATTTAATTATTTTCTCATTTATATCGTTTCTCATTTAGGGGAGATCGGGGCAACTTCGGCATGCGGGGCAAGTTTGTCAAGCGCTTTTTTTAAAAAACAAATTAAAAGGAGACTTTGGTTATAGGTTAGGCAGTTGAGTTTTATTGGTGGCTTGTTGAGTGTAGTGTTTTTATTGTTCTCCAACAAGCGTAGTTGAATTATCAAGCAAATTTTCATTTTCGTTCAATTCCATATAATATTTTTTTTCCATTTATATTGAATTGGCAGGTTTTGTTATAATTCCATGATAACGAAAGTTACTTTTCCTGTTAGAAGGATGTAACTTCAACTTATTCACGTGGCCAGATCGTGGCTTGGCATTCTGTTCTCAGGGTTGTACTTAATGTTTCGAAATCATGACTAGCGGGGTAAGATCGGCAACATAAAGCCACATTAGAAGCAAAGGATAAAAATCAAACAGATGATAAATGAAAACATGTTTGCATTTGTTATTCATGTATATATGTCTTTGAACTTGCATTTCGTTGTAATAATATTAAATGGGTGTTGGATTTGTATTTCTTTGTTTTAATAGTGAATTCCAACTTATACATTGTTAATAACATAATTTTATATACGTGCCTATCTTGCCCCATTACTGTTGCCCCTATACCAGGGGCAACTTTAATAAAAATAATTAAAATAATTACAACTTTACAAAAAGAGAGAAGTTGCCGATCTTGCCCCTATACCCGGGGCAACTTCGTCAATTTCTCTCTTCTTGTAAAGTTGTAATTATTTTAATTATTTTTATTTCCAAACTGATTTTAACCAGTTCTATAGTAAGGTAACATTCCAATAGACAATATGCAAAGCTTTTTTTTCAGTTTACAGCAGTATTTATTACACAAAATTTAAGTAAAGCTTAACATGCCGATCTTGCCCCGATCTCCCCTATATTCAATAATATCGTTTATATTATTGAGAATTTCTAATTTTTCACGGGGCCCAAGACTTATTGTTTTTGTATAGGCCATAATCCGCCATTGGTACTTCATATTTTATTATGAAGTACCAATACCAACACGTACCAACACGTTAAGGATACATATGTATCCTTAACGTGTTGTTCTCATGAATAATCAAGTTATATAGTTATGCTAAATCGTATGTTATATACGATAGTCCAATCTTAGAAAAGGCAATTTGACTTTATTGAAAACAGTTTCAATAGTTTTCTTTACAGGGCCTAATAAGATATTGAGAAATCTCTTTTACGAATTAAATTAATTCTCTTATTGTTAGATTGCAATTTGAAAAAATTGTAGACCTATAAATTTTCACTGTAGTTTGTCTGTCTTTCTTAATCTCGAGAATGGTGTTAGATAAGTGATTCAAGAACAGATATGAAAAGATTAGAGGCAGGAGACCCGATTAACTATATATATAAACTTTCGATTTGCATCGGAAGTCACGTTATTTCAATTCAAAAATGTCCCCTGAAAGGAGCTTCGATAGACAACCGGCACGACTCCATTACTAACGGAAAATAATGATGTACAGGGGCAAGAAACTACTAATTTGACAGTACTAATTTGAGGTGGAGAGCATATATTTTAAATTAAATAAATAAAACATATGATTAAAAATTGCAACCTGGTATTGTGACGATGCCACAATAAATAATTGTTTGTTTTTAAAGAAATTTTATTTTTCAAATCAATAACAGTATCAGGTTTATGGTTTCTAGCATAAATAATTGTGTGATTTTGTTTTTGTTGGATTTAAATCTTAAGAATGAGAAGACCAATTGATTAAATTCATATATTTTAGCAACTATACAGTTGAGTCCGCATAAGAGCATATTATAACAACGACATTTTGTATAAATAACTATAAAAAAAACATTTAACAAATAATTTTTTTAAAATTACTTTTTATTTTTTAGGAAATTAAAGAAAACAGATTTGTTTCAGGGAAAACAGAAAAAATAAGAGCAGGATAAGCATAAATATTGGCTAACAACATAAAAGAATAGAATAAAATGCTTAGTAAAATATAGTGAAAATTATAGAAAAGATGATGTTGAAGGAAAATCTTTAGAAAGTAAGATAAAGAAAATAGAAAAGTAGAAAAACTATCGAATATGTATATATATTCGATAGTTTTTTCTACTTTTCTATTTTCTATTTTTTATTTTCTATATATATATAGCGTATAAAGAGTAAAAACCAGTCCTAAAAATTAAAAGATCGCTAAAACACTCATTTCCAGGCAGTAGGCATACTAAATGAAAATTATTATTAGGCCTACCGAGGTATTCAGAAACTAGAAAATTAGACAAATTATTTCCAGGGTTCTGTATTAGATATTAAAAAATTCTAAGAATAATAAAGCTAAAAGGCATAAGGGGGTCAAACGTTTGTTAAAATATGGAATATAAAGACGAAGCAGAAAATGGTATTTAACATTTTAAGATCTTGCTATAATAGAATCGGAAAAATAATGTGTTAGGGGGTGAGTCAAATTGTCAAACAGTAGCTCCAATAAAAAGAAAATAATGTTTGAAAATAGGGAGATATGGGAGGAAGTTTTTAAAAATATACGAAACAAATAAAAAAAAAAAGGGAAGAAAATGCAGTGACTGTATAAACTGATATTGGAGTGAAGAGAAAGAAAGAACTTGGTCGTAGGATCCCAAATACGGGTTTTTAATGTCAGGAAGAGTATTACAGCTTAGACAAATGAAAATCTCTTCTTTCTCTCGGATCATTAAGAGGTTCAAGAAATCTTTGAAAATATATATATATATATAATATCTCTGTTTGTAAATACAATCTTGTGTCGATGAAAGTACGTTAATATGATGATTAAAATTTATATTATGATTCTGATATTAAAAGTAAACAAAAAAAAATTAAATTTAATATTAATAAAAAATAATCTTGAATAGATTTTCTAAATGTTTTACTTTTCAATATATTTTACCATTAAACATTAACAATATCTTATTTCAAATAAATGAATAATAAAATAAGATATTAAAATTTATAACTTCATATAAATAATTAATCTGATTTTGTTCAAAAATGTTTTTCTTATTATTTCTATTACGAAATACATAAACAGTTTTTAAAAATGTAGAAGTCAATATTACAAGTTGGAGATCAAGTTTCTTAGATGTGATATCTTACACATACAATACCAGTGACATGTACAGTTGATGGTTTCAACAACATTGTTTTCAAGGTTGAAAATATATATATTTCGTCCTAGTTTTCTGTCTTGAAAGGAACGATAAAAAATATTTTTTATGAAACATTAATAAAATAACTTATTATTAAGATGGATTCATTGTTAAACTTCATACTATTTACTCCTTAACTGAACTATTTAATTGATATAGCCTATTTCCTTGTACAGTATGTGTATGTTTGCTATTGCATTGGTTAAATGATAATATTGATTTCAAAATGAAATATAGATAAGCAAACAAATTAGTTATCTTCATACCGTTTAATATTAATAGTATCTAAATTGCTGTTATTAATTTATTATAATAATAAATTGATATAATAATTATAATAATAAGATTGAAAAAATGAACATTCATACCAGATGTTTCTAAGATAAAGTGTAAAAAAAACAATAATTTGATATTAGCATATAGTTTTGATTTTTTATTTTGACAAAAATTTCAAAATTGCAAATAATAATACATTAAAATATTTAATTTTGAGGAAAAAATTTCAAAGAGAGTTAATTCTACTTTTTATAAAGTATACCAAAATTTTCTGAAATAGAGAATAAATCATCTTAGGTATTTCTTGCTTAGTAAAGAATAAAAAATTTTAATTAAAACTGTCTTCTTAGTTAAAAAGTTATCTTTTAGTTTTTCTTTTTTATGGCCATAATTAATAATATTTATGTATGACCGTAGTCAAGTTCGCTCATTTAAAAGAAAATGTTACAAACGCTTCTGAATACCAAGACTGGTCTCTTTATCTACATATTTTCCCAATTTCCTCGCCTTGCTTTTTCTTTGTTGATTTTAAGTGACCATTAAGATTTAGTGTCAAGGCATTTTAAGCTCCGACTCTCGTTATCTCTAAGCATCTAAAAAAATTATAGTTTTTAAATGTTTTGTATGAGGTTAAGATATTATAACGTCTTTCGAAATTTCAAATTTAAGACAAGTATACTTTTATTTAAAACTGTTTAAATAATAAAGAAATATTTTACTATTTACAGATTTTATTCGTGTATAGGCCTAGTTCATCAGCTTTGACTAAATATGGTATTTCAGGTATGTATGTGTCCGGAAGCTATATATAAAAAGTAAACGTATTATCGCGCTAAATCGGAGATTATATTTATTTTGCCTTTAATTTGCGCTATATAATCACATCGTTATTATTGTAGAATTTGTAAAATGTTTCTCTAGTAATCGTTCGGAACTAAAATAAAAAATACATTTAATCAAATTCAACAGTTTTATTACTGGACATTAATGACACCAAATAGGGGAAAAATTTATAAAAAGAAAAGCATTAAAAGGATGCCGACCTGTAAGTAGGTCACTTTCGGATGCCTTAGCATTAACAGAAGCTGATTTATGTAAGCTATTTACAGTTTTTACATTTTTGTGATTAATTCCTGATATGTGTTTAGATAATCGTGATTTTATATGGTAATAAATATAATAAAATAATGTAAGATTTATAAAAACATTTATTTAAAGGGATCATTGATATCTGTCAAATGATAAAAGTCATATATTTATAAACATAAATTTCAGTAAGCTGTATTAGAAACTGTATAAGTTATTTAATTCTAATATATGAAAATTTAGCAATTCGTTTTTTATATGCAATCATTGTAAATATTATTAATAGATTGTCGAATTACGTCACCTTGTTTCAAATTTTACGTTAGATTATTTGATTATAGTTGGCCTTCACGCTTCAATTTCCTAACATGTTTAATGCAATTTCTTTACTGTTGGTAAATTTTTAATAGTTTATTCAATTTAAAAAAATTAAAAAAAAAACACTTTTATTGGTCATGCTTTTCGAGAGTGGGGTGGCCCATTTCCTACCATATATAGTGCATTCACTACAGTGCATTTACACATACACATCATGATTAAATTCTATGTTATGCTTATCGTGTTTCGGGAGGTAGGGAGGATGATACCACCCCACAAAACATAATTAAATTGCATAAAATGCATTGTCATCGGACCTAGATATGTCCTCAAAGTTTTAGCCTTCTCTCTTAATTATTAATAGAAGTGGATGAAATTTGAGTTGCAAGATTTGAGGACGATACAAAGCAAATAAATAAAAGCGTTTAAAAATAGTTATATTTTTTTATCCGTAGAATATAATATATAGAAGATAATGATTTATTAAAAATAGTAATGTATTGATAGACATTTCTAGTGAAACATACATTTTAAGATGGTTCTAAATAGGATTCGATTCGTTTTATTTTTGTATTTAAATATTTGTATGTCTTCAAAAAATTTAAGATATTTATAATAACTGAACAAAACAGAAAAGGATCTTGATGCTAAAAATTCATCACCAGTAACATATGTAAGTATTGTTATACCAGTAACCTATGTAAATACCAGTAACATATGTAAGTATCGTTGAAGAGCATCGGAAATTGTGCGTAAGTTAAAACTTTTTGTAGTTAGATCTAAAAGACAAACATATTTTTAGTTAAAGAGAGGGATATGTTACCTCTGCGCTTCCCTGAATACATGATACATCTCTAATGATATCCGTCAATTCTCAGAACGATTCGTTATCAGAAGCTAAAGTTATTAACCACTTGTTCCTAATTTAAAGTCTTACGGCCGTAATCATAATTGAGAATCAAGAGTCAAAGTTAGAAGTTAATCAACTAGGATTTGCGTACTAGAAGTAAAATGAATGGTAATTGATTAATTTCTAACCATAATTCTTAATTGTTGGTTGTGAATACAGCCTTTAATGTCACAACTGGCCAACCTGTATTTACTGGTTAACCTGTGATATCACAACTAGTCAATTTTCTCCATTGTGAATAATTCTGAGCGTGATTATCTTCAGAATTACTCACAATGGAGAAAATTAAACAAAGACTATTATAATGACTTTTTTTAAATATATGAGATTAGTTTCGAATAATAAATAAAATATTGCAAAAAATTAAAATGTCACATTTTGTCTAATTCGTTCTGTAATGCATTATTAATAGGAATAACTATTTTATTTTAAAAATTTTATTAATATTTTTATGATTCAGAAAAAAAACTAAATATTTTAAAGAATTTTTGGAACCAAATGCAAAATAATACAGTATTCGAAAATATTTTTTAATATAAAGCTAAAATCAGCAATATTAGCCGGATATATAATCACTTGTTTTTGGAAACCCCTAAAGAGGAGCTTATAGGCAAATAAACAAATTTGTTCTATCCTTCCAATCCGACGTTCATCAGAGGTCAACAATCATTTTGTGTTAGATTATTACAGTAATTGATGTAAAGTTACTAAGAGAAATCAAAACTGTCTCAGAGGACACTTATAATGAGAAGGGATCGGTACAGACTCCGATCCGAAATGCATAGATAATATGCAACCACTCTGTGTAATCAGAAAAATTGCGAGTAAGAAGCTTGTTAATAATCTCATCATTGATTTTTAGAGTTTAGAGCTTTCATTGAGAAATGTTAATAAGCTTTTTTGATTGTGTAAATACCATAAATTGAATAAGACTTTAAACCTTGAGTATTTTTCATATGTTGTCTATAATAACGTTATAAGTGACTAAAGATACATCGTAGTAAAGAAACAAACAAAGGTAAAGCGCTATAGTAGCCTATTTATGTATCTTGTTAAAATAAAGAAAGCAAATAAAAAATCACCGGTATGATGCTTTAAAGAATTTGGCAGCAATCTTGAATTATGTCAGTTGGTCTAACGCGAGTTTTTCTGTGTTGTTACGGAAAGAGAATCGAAATGTCAATATTGAAATATAAATTCAAGAAAAAATGTAAAAAATATCAAATTATAATATACATAAAATTTACTATCAATATTATACTTTTCAGGAGTTTGGTTGAGAGAAAANTTAACATCGACGAAAATTCAACATAAAGCGACACGCAACGGAGAAAAATTTCAACATTGGATACGTTAAACTATTTTTTCGTACATAAATCGGTTATCCGAAATATCAGTTATCCGAACCACCGCAGTCCCCAATTGATTCAGAAAATCGACGGTCTACTGTATTTGTTTTGATTGTGGTATTGAATACATGCTGCTTCATTATCCTCGTTTTAAATTAATTTTAAAATAAATTTTCGTAAAGTGATGATTAAGAATAATTCATTGCGTTAATGAATTGAATTGAAAATTAATGCTAATTTAACGTTTAATTAAACTAATTGCTTATGAAAATAAAATACAATACAAGCCTACAAATACAATACAATACAATATTAGCCTACACTTTTTAAAAATATTATTATTAATGATTTTAAAATTTGAGACTTCTGTATTCAAACAAATAATTAATATTAACAGTAATATCGACTTTCAATAAATGTAAAATATATTATCTTATTATATTATCGTATAATGTAGGTATCTTAATATGTACTGTATTATATTTTTATAATATAAACTTAATTTCACACACCTATTCATCAAAAAAATTTATTTTATTACTGTATTGATATATTTGATTATTTTCTAAATTTAATTTTATTTATTCTTATTTTTAAACGGAGAGAGGATATTATTTCGTTTCAAATATTTGTTTATCAATGTTTGAACACGATATGGTTCAACTGAATTTGAAGAATTAAAGATACAGATATATTTCATAAGTTATCAATAATCTGTTTAATTGATAACATTGTAAAACATTTGCTATTGGCATACTTTTGGTTACATCTATATTAGTTTTAATGACATATTTCTATATAAATTTTAAAAACTTCCTTTTAAACACTTTTTCCCCTACTTATTTATTTGGACATATCCACTGTAATCAATAATGACAATCAGTTAATACATATTTATTTAATTTTTTGATATTGAATAACATGCTTTTTTCAATGGAAAAATTCTGATAAGAAAAATAGATTCTATAAATCAATGATAACACGTTATAATCACATATTACATGTACAGTACAATTTATGTACAGACATGGTCATCTACAGGTAAAAATTCAAGAAAGTAAAATATTTAAATAAATAAAAACAAACCATAAAATTATGGAAATGATTAAAAAAATGTGTGGAAACAAATTTAGTCGTGAGATTTGAGAGAAAACTTCATTTTTATTTTTTTCTATTGACGTTGATACTAAACAGTTATTTTAAATAGCACTTTACACAAAATTGAATGCTCTAATTTGAAATTTCATTTTAAAAAATCATTAAATTATCTACATATACATTTAAAGCAATAACATAATGCTGAATTAATAACGGAAATGTAAGAATTCCAAGTTGTTACGTTTTAGATTTTAATATCTAAAGCGGATTTTTCTTCGTCTACCTTTAATTCTAATTCACTTTCTTCTATATGAATTTTCAATTAACTTTAAAAGAAACATTTAAAAAAAATTTCGATTATATTTGAAAATATTTCAGAGATGTTAGAATGTTTAAAACTTCCGAATAATCAAAACAGAAAGATTTCCAACTTAATAAAGAAAAAACATTTAATAACCTTCTACCTATTGAATTGAATCTGAGAGTTAAGATCGAAAAAAGTTTTTAGCACAATAAACTACATCCTGTTAACGCTATCCTAATCAACTGCTTTAGTAGGTCTGATCAATGGAATTCGCTATGTAATGCTATATACATTATGTTATCAGTCGGTCAGACATGTTCGGAATTTCTTTCTCGCTAAATATCAGCTGTAGAATTTTATTAAATCTACAGATAAATCGATTTAACATCAAACTAAATTTTGAATTTTTTTTGTAATTAAATTGTAATTAATTTTGTAAAAAAAAATGTAAAATAAGAATTATTCTACACAATACGTTTACAAAAAAAATTTATACATAATGCTATGAACATGACATTTATGTCATTCATCAAAAGTAGTAGTTTATTTTAATCGTCCCTTCATAATAGTTATCAGTCAGGATAAAAGGACTTTTGAATTCTTTTTTAATTTTATTTTAGAGATTATTTAATTCTCCTTAATTTATGAAATTTAAATATGAAATTATAACTAAATAATTCTAAATGATGTTATCATTTAACAGGAATGTACTGTAGTTAGATTATGGGTTTGATTCGAAAATTTCTTTTAGTAAATATTTACATTATATGACAATGAA